AGAGAGAGAAAGACTTCTAGTGAAATGCTTCCAACTGCACATGTTCAACTTTTTTTTAACGGAATTCAAAAAGGTCAACACAGGAGCAGACAAAAATTTCTCCTAGCTTTCTTTTCTCTTTTTGCCAAACAAGCCTGTCTTACTTTCATGAGAATAAACCTTGAGTTGACACAAGGCTTACTCTTACCATTAGGCAGAATGCACGATCTACCTGGTTTTTATATTTATAATTGTTTTGATATCTATATCTCTCTCTCTTTTTTTCTCTCAACTACATCGTAAGCCACCCAGAATCTCTTCGAACAGCGAAGACGGCCGGCGTGTAAATTTTAATAAACAAGCAACCAAACAAATACAGGAAACAGACCCACAATAAATCTGGCACCCAAATTTGGGCAGATTCTTGAACTCCTGGCCAGGATCAGTTTACGAGATTCCATAAAGGTTTATGGAGATTCTTGTCCCAAAAGGTGCTTTTTTTGCACGAGGAAACTGGACCTTCTTTGTTTTTCTTTGAAGACGTTTCGCTTCTCATCCAAAAGAAGCTTCTTCCGCTCTGACTGGAAGGGAGGGGAATGGAAAGATTTATACTCCTTGCAGACAGCTGGTCATTTGCCTTCTTTTAGAGCAGGGGTAGTCAACCTTGGCTCTTTGATGACTCGTGGACTTCAACTCCCAGAATTCCTGAGCCAGCTTAGCTGGCTCAGGAATTCTGGGAGTTGAAGTCCACGAGTCATCAAAGAGCCAAGGTTGACTACCCCTGTTTTAGAGAGTCGTTGAGGCCACTTGGAGGTTTGTCTGTGTCCTCAGGGTCACCTGAGTGGTGCAAATGGCTGTGGAGCCTTCTTGGCTGTGCAAGGAGTATAAATCCTTCCATTCCCCACCATCCTTTTTCTTGAGCACAGGTTCTCCTCAGGACTGCGTCCTACGTCCGCTGCCGTTCACCTTGTTGACCCGTGACTGTTGTGCTAGGTTTGCCACCAACCATATTGTGAAGTTTATGGATGATACAACAGTACTGGGCCTTATTCGTGACGACAATGAGGGTGCTTACCGCAAGGAGGTCGAGGGTTTGGTGAACTGGTGGGAGGAGAACAGCCTAGTTTTAAATACTGGGAAAAACACATTTGTCGATTTCAGAAAAGGCAGGCCCAGCCATGCTCCTCTGTGTGTTAATGATTCACCTGTGGAGATGGTTACTGGCATCAAATTCCTGGGTGTGCAGTTAACAAGTAAGCTGGCTTGGTCGTTCAACTGTGAGACACTGGTGAAGCGGGCACAGCAGCGCCTGCATTTTCTGCGTCGCATGAGAAAAGCACGTCTTCCTTCCCCTGTCCTCACCACTTTCTACAGAGGGACGATAGAGAGCATCCTGTCATACGGCATCACAGTCTGGTTTGGAGGCATCCCTGCTTTGGACAGGAAGGCAGTGCAGAGAGTGGTGAGGACGGCAGAAAAGATCGTCAGCAGTTCCCTCCCTCCCATCCAGGACGTGGCATATAAGCGTTGCTTGTGCAGGGTCCGCAAGACAGTCTGGGACAGTACACACTCTCTCCACAACCTGTTTTTCTTTGTTACCTTCTGGGGGAGAGGAGGGGGGCTCTGTGGTATCCGAAGCAGAACATCCAGATTCAGTCACAGTTTTGTCCCTTACAGTATCAGCCTTGGGAACTCTCAAGCTTCCTCCTTCCGTTATGTATTCAAGATGGACAGTGATTAATATTTATATATCACTTATATGTAAGGGTGTAGGTCTATACGTATGTTGTATATAGGATGTTTTAAATGTGTGTTATGTATGTATACACTTGAGAGGAAGCAACTAAATTTCATTTTTAACGTGTGCCGTTGTGCCCACAGTAAAAATTACAATTAAGGTTATCTATCTATCTATCTATCTATCTATCTATCTATCTATCTATCTATCTATCTATCTATCTATCTATCTATCTACCTATATCTCTATCTATCTATTTCTATCTATTATTTCTATCTATCAAATCTATTTCTATCTATTTCTCTATCTATTTCTATTATTTCTATCTATCTATATTTATCTATCTATCTATTTATATCTATTATTTCTATCTATCAAATCTATTTCTATCTATCAAATCTATTTCTATCAATCTATCTATTTCTATCTATCATATCTATCTATCTATTTCTATTATTTCTATCTATCATATCTATCTATCTTATCTATCTATTTCTATCATTTCTATCTATCTAATCTATCTATTTCTATTATTTCTATCTATCATATCTATCTCTATCTTTATCTATCTATCTATCTATCTATCTATCTATCTATCTATCTATCTATCTATATTATTTCTATCTATCTTATCTATCTATCTATCTATCTATCTATCTATCTATCTATCTATCTATCTATCTATCTATTTCTATCTATTATTTCTATTATATCTTTCTCTATCTATCTATCTATCTATCTATCTATCTATCTATCTATCTATCTATCTATCTATCTATCTATCATCTATCTCTATCTCTCTATCTAGTCAGAGCTGAAGAAGCTTCTTGGATGAGAAGTGAAACGTCTTCAAAGAAAAAGAAGGAACTCCAGTTGCCTCGTGAAAAAAGCACCGTTGGGAGATTCAACGAAGCGTGACAACGATCAGCACACCAAACTACTTCCGCTGCATGATTACCTTCAAACACCCTGTTGCTGCCTACGGGCTCCCGTGACAAGCTGTCCATTTTTGAGTCAATTAGACGGTGGAGCAGATACTGCATCAGACGCCTGACATGAGCCACGTAAGGTGCCCACTTGGAAAACAGTCCGAAACTTCGATAGTCTTGAGAAGACAACCGCAGTTTGAGGAAGTAGTCGGACAACCACTCTATGGTCTCCATGACCTGGGAAGAAAAGAAGAAAACTTCAGGTAGACATTAGCTGTGGGGTGACAGCTACTCACCCGGACCCAACTCATTAGCGACGGACTTACATGGCTAATCCAGCCATGATGGGTAATTCTTTTGCGGTAGGTGCCCAAAATGCTGCAACACTGGAAGTTTTTAAGAAGAGACTGGACACCCATTTGTTGCAACGGTCGCAAGCGTGAAAAACAGTCATCAGTCACTTTTGTCAGTGCCGTTGTAACTTCGAATGATCACTAAACAAACTCTTGTAAGTCAAGGACTCCCTGTGGTTGACTTAGGATGACTTATGACCTATTTTGTAACCCCTGGCTGGAATTTCACAATTTTTTTTTTGCCTGCTCTTTCCCTATTTACTATTAAATTCTGGACAGTCTAAGATGGTATTGTAAACAAACCTGTTCACACAGGTTGCTTATCTGTTCATCTGTTTATCAGTGATAAATCTGGCTCTGTTCTTTTTCCAAATCTACAGTAGTGGCCAAAATTGTGGAAACCTTTTGGGAAAAGTGTACAGTAGAAATGCCACCTTTGGTTAAGTTTCCACCCATTTTTCTTCTAATTTCTTTAGAACTGTAGCCTTGTTCACTTAATAATACTATTTTACATCACTCTTTGCACCATTACTTTAATTTTATTACGTTTGGTGACTGGCCTGTACTTATGACGGTCGCAGCATCCCCCCGGGGTCACATGATCCTCTTTTGCGACCTTCTGACAAGCCACGTCAATGGGGGGAGGAGCCAGTTTCACTTAACAAACGGTGTTAGTGCCTTAACAGCTGCAGTGACTCACTTAACAAAGGTCGTAAAATGGGGCAAAATGCCCCTAACACCTGTCTCGCTTAGCAACGTAAAATTTCGGGCTCCGTTGTGGTCAAAAGTCGAGGACTACCGGACTGGAACAGAGCATCTGAGGAAAAGGACTCCATCAAAGAGGCAGGAGAATTCAAAATGGAGGATGCTCTTGAGAACATCTGGATAAATAAGGGCAGAATGGAATTAAAAGCCATATGGCGGTTGTTGACGTCTTCTGAGCACTTAGATTCAAACAAATATGGATGAAACCTTTCAGAAAGTAATGGCAGATCTTAGAACCAAGTAGTTGCGATGGGAGAATTTAATCCTACAGTCGTGGAAAAAATTGTGGAAACCTTTTGGGAAAAGTGTGCAGTAGAAATGCCACTTTTGGTTAAGTTTCCACCCATTTTTCTTCTAATTTCTTTAGAACTGTAGCCTTGTTCACTTAATCATACTATTTTGCATCGCTTTCTGGGCAACCGGTCAACTCTTTGCACCATGACTTTAATTTTATTACATTTTACAAGCTCACTCAATGAAAGAACACAAAAAAAACCCAACCAACTTGACAGCAATCTCATAACACACTGACAAATGTCCTCCTCTCAGCTTCAATACAGGACATCAATCACTGGATCCTATTGTGATCTGATTGGCTCATTGCCAAAACAAGATGACACCCGATTGGCTCTCTAAACACGCATGCTCATTGGTTACAATCAGATGAAGGAAAGCTACCTGATATCAACCTAAGCAAGTTGTGCTTCCTTTTTCTGGTTATTTGGCTACAACTTTTCATAGACTACAGTACAGATAATTGAACAAACTTGGTTGCATTACATTCTTGATTAAATTATCTTTCCATTGATATATAATGTTATGGTACTACTCCCCCCCAAAAGTGGTGTTATTAGCCACCAAACCTTCCACAATTTTGGCCACTACTGTAATTTAGTTTGATTTAGTAATTTTATGTAATTATCTTCTTTTATCGTTCCACGTCTTGCTGTTAAGTATATTCCCAAATATTTAACTTTCTTAACTATTTGTAAGTCTATGTTTTCTGTCGGTTTGTGTGTTTTTTTTGGGTTTTTTTGCTTATCTGTAAGGTTTTTTAACTACAACTTTGGGGTTTTTTTTCTCTCTGTTTATTTTCGATCCTGCTATTTCCCCAAATTCTTCTATCCTTTTCAATAGTTTAAGAGTTGTCTCCAGCGGTTCTTCTAAACCAGTGGTTCTCAACCTGTGGGTCGGGACCCCATTTGGGGTCGATCGACCATTTCATGGGGGTCGCCAAGCAAGGCTGTCCGCCATTTTTTTTGTCTGCCATTTTTTTTGTCCGCCATTTTTTTCTCCCTTTTCCGGTGGGTGCCTTACCTCCCTTGGGCTGGGCCAGCTGGTGGTCGGCCTGCTCCGTCTCTGCGCTTGCCAGCTACGCCTCGGCCGGTGCAGGGGGCGTAACCACGCATGCGCGGCGCTCCCGGGCAGGGAAAGTCCTCGACTTACGACCGGTTGGGTAGTCCTCGACTTACAACCGGTTTAGTCCTCGACTTACGTCTGGTTTAGTCCTCGATTTACGACCGGTTTAGTCCTCGACTTACGACCGGTTGGGGTCGCGGCATTAAAAAGGTTGAGAACCACTGTTCTAAACTGAATACTATTAAATCCCAGACAGTCTAAGGTGGTATTTGTAACCGAACCTGCGTACACGGGTTGCTCACCTGTTCAGGTGATAAAATTGGCTCCGTGGAAGGCTGCAGGGGGAGGCTTGGGTCAGCCATTTCTTTCCTTCCGTTTTCCTTTGCTGGGATGGAGCTGGGGCAGCCCAAAGCTTTCAGAGAAGCTTTCCAACAGTCAGGGCTAAGGAGCTGATCTGAAGAACCTGAGCAGAAAATTCAAACCAAAATTAAAAGTTTCACTCTTAGCTTTGCATCCCCTTCATTATATAGCCGTGTTCCAGTATCTCAGGGGCTGCCCCAAAGAAGAGGGAGTCAAGCTATTCTCCAAAGCGCCTGAAGGCAGGACAAGAAGCAACGGATGGAAACTCATCAAGGAGAGAAGCAACCTGGAACTAAGGAGAAACTTCCTGACAGTTAGAACAATTAACCAGTGGAACAACCTGCCTCCAGAAGCGGTGAATGCTCCAACACATGTGAAAGGCATGGTTTAAATTCTCTTCCTGGTAGCTGATTAAGCTAAAGGTTTTGTGTGTGTGTGTGTGTGTGAGAGAGAGAGAGAGAGAGGGGGGGGGAGAGGGAAGAGAGAGAGAGAGAAAGGTTGCAAAAGGGAAAGAAAGAAAGAAAGAAAGAAAGAGAGAGAGAGAGAGAAAGAGAGAGAGAGAGAGAGAAAGAAAGAAAGAAAGAAAGAAAGAAAGAAAGAAAGAAAGAAAGAAAGAAAGAAAGAAAGAAAGAAAGAAAGAAAGAAAGAAAGAAAGAGATGGGAGGGAAAGAAAGGAAGAGGAAGGAAGGAATAGAATATAGAATATAGAATATAGAACAGTGGTGGTGAACCTATGGTGCACGCGCGCCGTCGCCCCAGTCCTCGGCCTTCAGCTGGGTTTTATAAAACCTTTTCGCTTTAGGCCTCCACCGCCGAGTGCAAAAAAAAAAAGATTCAATCAATCAGTCAATTTCAACTTCTCGCGGGGAAAAAAAAAGATCTTGCAAAGTTGGAATTGATGACCTCCAAGGTCCCTTCCAACTTTATTATTTTTATTATTATTATAACTTTTTAGTACCACCCAGTCTGCCGTTACCACTGCAGCCACCCAATGGGCCACGCCCACCTGGCACCCGACGATGCATAAGTGGGTTTTGGGTTGCAGTTTGGGCATTCAGTCTCTAAAAGGTTCGCCATCACTGATATAGAATATAGAATATAGAACGGAACAGAACAGGACAGGACAGAACAGAACAGAACAGAACAGAATAGAGTAAACAGAATAGAATAGAATAGAACAGAACAGAACAGAATAGAATAGAATAGAGTAAACAGGATAGAATAGAATAGAATAGAATAGAATAGAATAGAATAGAATAGAGTAAACAGAATAGAATAGAATAGAATAGAATAGAGTAAACAGAATAGAATAGAATAGAATAGAATAGAGTAAACAGAATAGAATAGAATAGAATAGAATAGAATAGAGTAAACAGAATAGAATAGAATAGAATAGAGTAAACAGAATAGAATAGAATAGAATAGAATAGAATAGAATAGAATAGAATAGAATAGAATAGAATAGAATAGAGTAAACAGAATAGAATAGAATAGAATAGAGTAAACAGGATAGAATAGAATAGAATAGAATAGAATAGAATAGAATAGAATAGAATAGAATAGAAGCTGGAAGGGACCTTGGAGGTCTTCTAGTCCAGCGCAGTTTCCCTCAACCTGGGCAACTTTTAAGATTTGTGGACTTCAATTCCCAGAGTTCCCCAGTTGAAGTCCATATGTCTTAAAGTTGCCCAGGCTGAGAAACACACTGGAGTAATCCATCATCAAAAATCTTTTCCCGTTCTTACTTGCTGAAGATGAGCTGTAAAAGTCGAGATGCTACTTACTTTGAAGGAGGAGCCTCAGAAAACTGCTGTAGTGGTCAGGGAACTGGTACTGGAGGAGGCAAACCCAGTGTTTGCAGAAGATGGAAAAAGGCATTAAGCCGTCCTTCTCGGGCTCAAAGCCACAGGTCTTGAGGCCCACATGGATGGACTCCAAAAGCTGGCCACGCTCCGACAGGGCAGGTTTTGAACCCTGCAGCCATTCCAGGAGGTCAAACTGTGGTTTTTTTGTAAAAAAAAATAAATGGGGGGAGTGTTTGAGGTTGGGGAGAGAATTGGGAGGGGTGGGGGAGAGAGCAGTGAGGCTGATTCATTCCAAAAGAAAGAGGGCAGGTTAGAAATGTTCTACTTTGGGTCATAGAAGTCATTACGCTCACAACAATTTCCCACAAATCTTATGAGGAACTGGTCGTCCTTCTGCTGAATATTCACTGGCAGCGACTGAAGAGGGGGGGGGAAGGGCCAAGAGGTGCAGAGAATTTGAAAAAGGAGAGATTATTTTTTTCCTGGATCCCCCCCCACCTGCCTGCAGGAGCAGGTGTTTTCCTTTTTAAAGTGTACTAATCTTATTTTAGGGTTTTGTACTTTGTTTCTATATGTCTAATCAAATAGTGACGGAGAAACAGAGTTGGGTGGATGGGTGGATG